TGATGCCAGTAACGAGATGGCCGATATCGTAACACTAACTCTACAGCGCAAGTGCTGCTAATTTACTTATCCCCCGAAAAATAATGTTTTTTACCAGCATACTAGCAACAACATCTTCATGCCCGACAGGATTTGGAAATATATGCGGCTGGATAGCACAGGTCCAGATAATTACGATCGAACTGTGATGCAATAAAAATTCATCTGGCCAAAAGAGTAAGCCTTGTAATATCACTTCGACACAAGATGAGCAAATTTTAGCATAATAATGAAATGACAACGCTGGTAAGAGGTTTCGCGTATAATAAAGAGGAGGTGGAAAGTATTAAATAAAAGGTAAAAATTAAAATTCATTGCAATTATTGAAAAAAACAAAGGATAAATTAAATGTATTTGGAATTATGTTATAGAATGGTCAGTAGAAAATAAGGAAATGGACATTAAAAATGATATTATATTATAATTTTATCGAATCTCATCTTATCTCATCTCTCGCGCTATCTTATTTTAACTATTCTTAGTCTTTTTTTATAATTTACCTTTCACTGCATCCTTTTTTCTCCTATTTGATATTCTCTTTAGCGTGAATGTATTTCTATTCATGTCGGCCAAGCCGGAGTTCAGATTGGAAATGCATGCTGGGAACTCTACTGTCTAGAACATGGCATCCAACCTGATGGTCAGATGCCCAGCGACAAGACAATTGGTGGTGGTGACGATTCATTTAACACTTTCTTCAGCGAAACTGGGGCCGGGAAACATGTTCCCAGAGCAGTATTTGTTGATCTTGAGCCAACAGTTGTAGGTAATTTACCACGTGGCCTACTTCCTACCTAAAATGGGATATTTCGTAACTTATCCTTTTTGAAAATTTTGATTAGTGCCTACTGGTCATTCCCATTCTCTGTTTTGCATAGATATTAATTACTTCAGAATTCATACTCCTGAAGACTATCATTCAGCTGATATTATGAATAAGATGTTTCTATCCGATGTGTCCCCTGTATCTTTATTTTCAAGTTTTTCATTCTTCAGCCTCATGATAAAATTCGGATGGGTTCATTTCGGGATACCTTGTTTGCATTCATTCTGAAGGTACAAATCAGGTCAAAGCAGCTCTTGGAGCGAAAAACGACTGCGACCAAATCTAAGATCAGGCCTTCTTGGCTTCCTGTAGGAAAATGTAAAAATTTCCTAAAGCCAAGTAAGCACTCCAGCAAACTTTCTTAATCATGTTGGAATTAAATTAGCAGATTGTAAACCAAGCCAATTGTTGCCCTCGCCTCAGAGCATAAGTTGAGAAGATGATTTTTGCCAGTGTTGTTGCAGATTAACATAAGGCACTAAGAGTTTAGCTTAATCCTATTCACAAAGGACTGATTACCTGTTTTATTAATTCGAGAAGTTTCCTAATGTCAAATGCTAGCCATGGCTAGAAAAAAAATATCTAAAGAAATTATTCACTTATTTAATAAAGTGCGATTATATTTAATATGAAAATACCATTGCTATGCGAGCATAAAGCATCATGTTATAAAAGTATAAATTAGGTAATTGTAGGCTTTCGTATACGTTAGCAAGGCCAAATATTCATCCAATAATCCAATGTGCTTTTTGAGTAGGAATCTAGTCGTCCAATTGCATACCACTCCCAGAATTCACCATCGCCTGCCTCATTTGTTGGGTCATCTGGACAGGTCCAGACTCTAGACCTAGCGGCTATAACGAAGTGATATTGTCAGTTTGTATGACTTTGAGATTTTATTTTTGCGTATCTAACCTATGGAAACACCAAAAAAGTTGTAGGGTACAACAGTGAAACCGATTCACTCAGAGGCTCAATAAGAATTTAATTACACAAATGATGTTGATTCAAGTAATTGAGGCTACGCGAACTTATAAATGGAGACTTTATGTCCAATTTGTCCATCTACTTTACTTCGAACCTAGCGAAATTATGGCTGATTTTCATGCATAAGAATTACTTCCTAATAAGCAAATCAAGCGGAAGTTCTTACAACAACTTTTTATCGTTGCGTAATCAGACGAGGTGCGCACCGGCACATATCGTCAGCTGTTCCACCCCGA